ACGGTTAGCAAAACAAAGCTTCTCAACTTATTTTCGGAATATTTATTGTATGGAATATATTTTTTTGGAGGCAAAAAAAATTAAATATATTAAGAAAGCGAAAAGCTCAAAAAGGACGGAAGAACATCAAACCACACCCACAGGCCACACCCCTTCTCAGAGTTGAAGGAAATTAAAAATATGGGAAAAGGCATTAATTTCCTGGGAAATATTTAGTGTTATTCAGAGTGGATTTGATCAATATACACGCATATTTATATATGTGTACGGGTGTGGATATATATTGCATTAATTTCAGTTCCCAGGCAAGAAAGATGGTGGGAGAGAACCGTTGACCAATTCAAAAATAAAATACAAATTAATAAATTAATTAATTATTTGTTGTATATTTCTCACAAATTTCTTTCCTATTTCTTCTTCAATTCTGATAAAGAAGTTGACACTTTAACTTTCCTCTACGTACGGCTTAGGATAGATTGAGTCTTTGATTTCCATTTATTTTCATGCATGCGTCATATAAATATAAGTGTCATTTTGGAGTCAATCTTAGGGTTCATCTCTAAACCTATATTTTTGTAATTAAGACTTTAATAATGTTATGTGATATGATGATTATTTTTCGACGCTGTCAATACTTTTTCTATTTGTTGCAACCTAAAGAGTCAATACCCATCAGGATTCAATCATGTGACCTTCCCTCAGAGAATATAATATGATTGGCTGTTTCTATTGTACTTGATACAATGTAATTAGACATACATTTTTAATCATATGTGATATAAATTTACAGAGTGTACTAATTCGTATTTTAGAATTTGCAAAAAATTCTTACAACATAACAACGTTAAAAATTATAGCTAGTAGTAAAAACATATATATAATTTTTTAAAATATTTGTATAAGAATCAACATCATATTTTGAGAGTAAAATATTAAACTGGGGCTTTCAAGTGTGGGTTGATTAGAAGTTTTTAGAGGTTGGAGATAATAATGGAGTGGGGGAATTTGGTGAAAGCTGAGATGAGGTTGTGTTAAGGTGGGTGTTGGAAGGTGTCAGGTGTCAGCGCAACTTCCCAATGCAGTGTACATATACATATATATCATATCATATGCATTTGCCCATTCTCTCTGGTTTCATACCACACTGCTGCACCCTCTTCTGCCTTCCTCACATCATCTTTCACTCTCAATCCTCTTTTATTTTCATTTACTTTAATTTTGGTTACATTATTTTCACTAGGAAAATACAATGTAGATTCCCATTTTTTACTCACTTCTAAATTTTTTATACCAAGGCTTCTATAATTCTTGACGGGAACACTTTTATAGGAACTCACATGGTAAAAGTAATTTATATCTTTGTTTGCAACATTATGGAGTAAAAGTAGTGTGTTAAGAGTTCCTCTGAGCACCTGTCTGCCTTAACTCTAACCTGTGACAAATCACTTGTTAGGATTACACGCTTACCACTATGTCAAAAGTTATAGCTCAAGATCATATATAGTGGAGGTGTAATTTTATTTTCTTATACTATCACATTTTCAAGAGGCAATGTGTTGGACTTGACCTTCAAGCCTCCACCTAACAATCTTATAACCACATGATGCTAGACTGGTCCTTCACTGACCTCCGTCTAACAAAGTGAGAGAGTGGAATTTAGGAATATACATACTATAATGCTTTTGAGTAATACTACACGTAACTGATTTCTACTTTATTTTTTAGTTTTTACTTATGTGACAGGTGTTGATTCGTCCAAAAAAGAGTTAGCTACAAATCTTTTTACTTCTATCAGTTGAATCATGACACATGATGAGAGGATTCAACCTTTTGGAAAGAATGACACATGATGAGAGTTTTAATCACTATGAGTATATATATCATTTTTTTTCATTATTTCCCTACCTAAAGTAAGCCTAATTTAATCCGGTCAATATTGATCAGATCTCATTCAAAGACAATTATTTCAAGAGTATTGTTACATACACATGAGTTTGAACTAAGTATATAAATAGTTTTTTGTCTAAATACAAGTGATTATACATATATGGTAAGAATAAATATTAAAAGATAAATATACCATTTTATGAATAATTTAACGTTTTAGTTGAGTTGATGATATGTTAATCTTGAAAAATGCACCAATTATCCAAAGAAGAGTAAATGGATTATATTATGAAAATTAGTATAATATAGGATGGGATTGCATGTGGGGTGGTGGAAAGGATCAGATCGACAGTCCAAACAATAGGTTAACGTTAATTCAGAGCGTGTCTCGTGGGAAATTACCATTATATTCTATCAAGAAATTCTTCACTCATCTTAATTAATCCACAAAAAAATTTAAAAAATTAAGTCTCAAAAGAGGTCAGGTAACTAAACGAGTGAAACATAATTCTTGTACTAAAAAGTCATATTGAATTTTTACCAACATTCTTTTAATGAGTAAATTTTTTAGTGCGATTTTTTTATGTGATATAAGTTATTACACAAGAGCAGATGTACTCAATGTATACAATTTTTTAAATGATGAATTAATGATTATGTGCAATGCATTGAAACATTAATCTATACCAATCCTTGAATAAATTATAAAGGAACAAGAATGTTATTTAGGTCCATAGTCTTATCAACTTCTAAGAAAATGTAGCATATGTGATAAGAAGAACGATATATATACCTTTGTTACTCCATATCTCTTTAGAATAATGTTACACCCTTTAATTAATTTTATAAAGCCGCTAACAGTACATATCATTATATTAAATACCTTTTCATATATTTAATTTTTATGCAAATTTCTTATTAACTTGTAATGGGATCGGAGTCAATTAATTGAGTAATTGACAGATAGTCAAGGTATGTAGTAATTTTGGTAGGAAAATAAATTCATCACTTTAATTACTTAATGATGTTGGACGAAGGTTTGAAAGGTCTAAGACCAGTATCATGTTACTAGTGTGAATTCAAAACGTGACGCTAATTACAATATTTTTTTTTTTTAAAGCAAAAGCACCAAATTTCATTAGTTCAAATCCAGCTTCAAGCAATTTGGGGTGGTAGCTTAAGTGTCAAATGAGTTCTCTTTGTGGAGGAGAATTTCGAGATATAATCTAGGTTCGACTCCTCCTAGACTAGCTTTTATGATTTTCCGGAGCAAACGGGAATTAGTCGGACTGGTAAAAATTCTTGATATAAAAAATATAGGATTAAAAAAAGAGCATATTATAGTGGTGGAATGGAGTGATTCTCCGTGGTGGTTATGGCACTCCTTTATGAGGATGCTACGCGAAATGCGGGAGCTCAACTTTCTAGCTAAGCTATCTGCATGCGGCCGCAGCCAACTCTATCTCTTTTGTCTTCTTCCTTTAATTGCTTTCGATAATCATAAAAATTCGTTATCATTATCTAAAGTGTGTATTAAATATCACTTATATCTAATAATCAGCAGATTATGTAAAGAAAATAAATCATCGTTCTAAAAAGATTTTATACAACGAAAACTCGACCAAAAATATATTATCAAGAATCAAACTTGTGACATTCTTTAATTCTTCCAAAGGTTGAACCCCACCCCTAAGGGCCTCCCACACCCCGGCCCAACAGAGCATTTGGGAGGATGTAAATCATGGTGACTCAACTGAACATGAACCACAGAGGCTAGACCGGTGCTCACTGCGCACAAGGAGCCCCCTCACTTTGAGAGATTGCTCCCACACTGCCGCTGGTGAGACTCAAACTTGTGACATTTTTTAATTGTTTTTACTATAAGGTAACAAACACTTATTAGTTCTTGAGAATTTATGAGATAGTGAAAAAAAATGTATAAGATAATAAATACTTATTTCGTTTCACTTGATGTGTTCAGTTTAATTAATAGTCATTAATTATTTCTATTTGCATAAAATCAGGTTGATTAATTTCTAGCTATGGTGCCTATCAAATCCAAAACGAGTAAGTTTCATTTCTTATTATAGTTCAATAAAAAAAAATGCATGTGTATACAATAACCTTTGGAACTTTCCTAAAATAGGGCTCAATTATATTAATCTCATCTCACAATAAAGATAGCATTATAGTATGAAAAATAAAAACCTATCCTTTTTTAGTGTGGGAATTATATTTACATGGTACCATATACAAAATTCATATATATTAAAATTTTTACTAAACACAAAAGGCTGTAATACTCATTATCTTGTGTGCATTAAAATCACTTTATTATATAATAGTTTGCAAATTATAGAAAAGAAATAAACAATATTAAGAAGACTAGGTCTTATGAGTTCAACTGAGAAGATGTTGATAAGAATCAAACTCGTGCAGTGACGTAGCTATATGTTAATTAGTGGAGTCAATTGACCCACTCAAATTTGGTTGTTTATCGCTTATATACATATTTTTTGATATAAATAATAGAGTCAATTTTATCCTTTTTGAATTTTCACCCGGGCGTCGATATTTTGACACTCGATAGTCAACTTGAGACTTATATCCTTGATGTGCACCTACTCTAACTATGCATTTTCTAATATTCAAGAGGTTGGGTTCTCATGCTGAAAAATTAGTGGAGACAGAAATTAGTGTATATATATCCATTAGTTTATTTACTTGTAAATTAGCTTTGATATTATCAGTGACGACGACAAATGTTGAAAGTGTTTTTTAGCAATGAAGATAGTGAAGAATAGACTACACAATCATATGAGAGATAAATTTATGAACGATTGTTGGTAAAGAAAAAATTATACAACGTTTTTAAAGTATGAAAACACATAGTGGACAATTATAAAATGAAGACATTTATATATAAACATAACTTATATTATATTAAATTTAGTATATTGACACCACTGAATTTTTATCCTGACTTCATCGCTATAATAAACTCGTGACATTTGGTACAAGAATGATGCATTGATTTCATATAAGTTGAGTGTAAAACACAGAAATTATGGCTGGGTTGCAGGGTTTTTGGGAGGGAGAGACAAAGGAGAGAGAAAGAAGGGTGTGGGGACCATGTTTCGACCGCCCATGCGCACGCTGTCTTACCAAACCAAAAAGACTCAAATCCTTAACACCATCCCATCATCCATACATCTCTCTCTCTCTCTCTCTCTCTCTCTCTCTCTCTCTCTCTCTCATCTGCACCTGCTTCAAGAACCTGCAGAATGAATGAATGAATGTATGCATGTGTGTATGTATCTCTCTCTCTCTATCTATGAGTGAAGGAATGAATTCATGAGCGAAAGATGATAGGATCTGTGTTTGACTTAGCCTAACCCTAACCCTCACCAACAATAATTCACCCCTTTCGGCTGATCATCCTTTCTGGTTAAGGTTAGAAGCGTTTCATTCCCAAGAAAAACAACCCACCCACAAGCTAAAAACCCCAATTCTTGATTTTCCGGCGACCTGGTTGGGAGCTCAGTGTAATTTAATTTAATTTCCAGCCGGAGATATATGGATCCGCTCACTGCCCATCATGGCCGCCCTTTGCCGCCGCCGTTTTACAGTAGCAGAGATGTTCAGTTGAATCAGTTCCTCCACCACCACCACCACCAACAACCGCCGCCGCCGCCGCCGCAGCAGCAGCAGCTGCCTAAATCTGACGGCGAGGAGCAGATAAAAGGTGCAGATCGTGATGATGTTACGGTGACGTCAACGACTAATAATAATAATAATAATAATACTTCGCCGGTGGATGGTAAACAAGGTTTGGGGTTGTCCTCCGGTACCGGAGATTCCGGGGGAGATCATTCGGGGAGGAAGCCGAGAGGAAGGCCAGCCGGCTCGAAGAACAAGCCGAAGCCGCCGATCATCATTACACGTGACAGCGCCAACGCCCTCCGATCCCACGTCATGGAAATATCCAACGGCTGCGATATTCAGGAGAGCATTTCCAGCTTCGCCACCCGCCGCCAGCGCGGCGTCTGCATTCTCAGCGGCAGCGGCACCGTCGCCAACGTCACTCTCCGTCAACCGGCCTCTCCCGGCGCCGTCGTCACTCTCCACGGAAGATTCGAAATTCTTTCCCTCTCCGGCTCCTATTTGCCCCCGCCGGCTCCCCCCGCCGCCTCCGGCCTCACCATATACCTCGCCGGAGGGCAAGGCCAAGTGGTTGGCGGCAGCGTCGTGGGTCCCTTAATGGCCTCCGGTCCCGTCATGATCATGGCCGCATCTTTCGGAAATGCAGCGTACGAGAGGCTCCCCATAGAAGACGACGAATCCCCAGTCCAACCCCCGGGAACCGAACCGTTAGGCGGCGCCGGAATTGTGAGCAGCCAACAACAATCGCCGCCGCAGATCATGGTCTCCTCCGACGCCACGGGTCTCCAAGGTTTGCCTCCGAACCTCATAAATTCATGTCAGTTGCCGGCAGAAGCTTTCTGGGGTACTCCTCGACCACCTTATTGAAAACAAAAACAGACAGTTTGAATCAGTCAGTTATGTGCAATCTAGACTGGTCTATATCGTCCCGTTATGACATAATTTACCCAGATACTGGTTGCAGATTTCTCTAGTCACCCAAAAAACGGACAGTTTACAGATATGTGCAATCCAGACTGGTCTATCTTCTTGTGACGCTGGTTAGAGTCACAAGACGGGATTTATCTCGATTGCAGATTTCTCTGGTCACCCAAAAAAATGGACAGTTTTTATATGGAGTAATTTATGTCATTTATTTCCTTTTCCCCCCATTTTCTTGAGTTTGTTAATTAGCTTATTAATCCTGGGTTTGATCTGAGCTCAACTTTTCTTTTCATTAATCAATCTTGGTACATTCCTAGAGTTTGTGCTGGTGTCAAACTGTCAATCTATGTTTGTTAATTAGTAATTTATCACTGCTAGCTCTACATCTCCGGTTAGTTATCAAGAATTACTCGAATTTCCGGCCACTTAAAATGGTCAAAAAACTAGGGTTTTCAATATGAATGTATAAACTTTCATGTTTTTAAACTTCATGACAGTATATAGATGGAGTTTGCACTTTAATTTAGAGGGTTTCATGAAATATGTTTCCTTTTCTATTAATTAACTATTGTGGGGTGTGAATATTTGTGCAGTCTTTTGTTCTACAACCAAATGATTACATAAACCTTAGAACACATCCTTTTTAAGAAAGAGCACACAATAATATAATGATGCACTCCATGTATGTATGTGTAGCTACCTATCTAGTACTCTAGGTTTATATATATCCAAACTTTGATTTTCAAAAAAGTCCACAATCATAAGTTAACCGTAAACAATTTTCATGAAGAGTCAAATTTGAAACGTTGTGCTTGCTAACTCAATTGTCTGGATTTGCCCCCAATAATATATAAACTAAACTTAGTATATGTAATATATAGTAACATTTGTAGATAAGGATGTGGCTTTCTTGGATATCATAATGATGTATGTATAGGTACCATAAAATGAAAGAAAATTTGAAGATAAGTTGCTAAAAATAGTATTGTATGAATGTTGGACTATATATATATAGTATATATATATGATGACATAAAATTTGCTAGTAAAAATATGAGAGTGATGGAAGCTAAGGGTTAGATGGAGGGTGCAGGGAGACATGTAATGCGAGATAAGGGGTGGGTTGGGGTGATGGAGAGATGAATGCAGAGAGGTATGGGGTTTAGTAAATGCTGGCTTTGGGTTGAATTCAAATGCATCTGGTTCTTGGAAGGAAAGTCATGGTGTCATGTCATTTAATTTTTTGCTATTTTTAGGATTTTTAATGATGCAAGGTTGGCATAATAAAGATAAACTAAAATAAAGTTTTTAAAAAATTCCGCTTTAATTTTAAGGTTGTCACTGCACTTAGTTAATTGATAGAAGTTAAGAAATGAGCATTAGATATCCAAAAGTTTCTATCAGACGTGCTAGCTAACAAACCTTTGAATACATTTTAGGGGGTTTGATCAAAGAGATAAATCATGAAATATAATCATGGGTTACATGTTTTCGATTCTTTTGTGAAATAGGAAAATTTGTAATCACTAGTCATACACGAGTAAACTACGGTCCATTGTAATAGTTAACAAAACGTAACCCACACATAAGAGGTAAGAATCATACTATGCAGTATCTCGATCTCACAACCTCCCTTATAAGGAAGGGACTTGGTACGATTGGACTACAAGGTTCTTGATTAGTCGATAATTGTTTTAAAATTAATTAATTGATCAGTTGAGTTGTGATTAGGATAGGAGTGGGCAAGGAATTGAAAGAGGGGAGGGAGAGAGATGAAGCTATGGTATTATGGTTGGGTGTGGAGTACACGTGGTGTAGTGTGAAGTAGTTCCTTTTCGAGGCAACTTTACACACACTTCACTTGCATACAAATTAAACCCAACAAGGCCACAACTCCTGTCGCTCGTGCGTGTCGGACTGTGACTGACTCATGAGGTAATTAACTGACCATTTGTCGGTCAATACTCCACTTCATCCCGGAAATTCATGAATATTAATCCACCCTCAAAACTCACCAAGAAAGTGATCAATAATTCTTGTATTTAAATGTAATAAGTTCAATTTTTCTTAATATTTTTTTTGGATTGGGTCCGTTACACAGAATCTTTCTAATATAATTTGGTTGTGAGCTATTATACATGAGCTGAGTTTACACTTTTTGTGTGCTTTATGAGCATTCAAGCTTGTGGTATAACGGTGGTGTTTGGTAAATAGCTGTTAACTGATTGAGTTAGTGAGTTTGACTAGTTGATACCATTAGCTGATTGTAAAAAAAGTGTTTGATAAATTAGCTGTTAGCTGATTACATAAAAAATGATTTTCTCAAAAAATTGATAAAAAAAAACTACTTTGAACAGTTTTTTGAATTTTAGTATTTTAGAGCAATAAACTATTACAAAAAGCTAATTAATCAAACATTTAAAATATTGATTGTTTAACTAAGTCAAACAACTAATAAATTCAAATAAATCAAAATTGACTGATAAGCTAACTATGTTACCAAATAGCGCCGGTGAGCTATTATACATTTAGTTTAAACTTTTATTGTGGTTTATAAGCACTACATACTCAAGCTTGTGGCTTAATTTGTTAGTGTGCAAGTTATAATATGAGAGTATGATTTATTTAATGCACACCCTCTACTCAAATAAGTACTAGATAGATTTTGCATGTTTACCTCGGTTAAATATATCAAGTAAAGAAATATATTATATGAAGAGTTGTATTCCATATTAAGTTCATAAGGGTTAATGCTTTATTATTTTAATCTCGTAAAATATTTTTCTTAATATTGTTATAAAAGATTAATATAGTTTTACATCACCTAAACTTTCACCAAGTTCATAAGAGCTCTCAGTTGGTCAAGTGGAACAACCCAACGACGTAGGCTAGGAGCAATTGGTTGGGATGTGAACAGTTGTGAGCTGACCGGTTGGGACGTGAACAGTTGGACAAACAACTAGCCAGATCAAATTCAATCACATTTACGTCACAAAATGCCACCACATTGCCATAAAACAAATAAGGACAAAGACAAAGACTCTAGTATAATGTAATATCCGTTCATGACCTTCTGATTCTACTACAATGTAATATCTGTTCATGACTTTCTATTTAGGAGAACGATTAGGAAAACGAATAAAGACAGACAGATATTCTGTTACAATATAATATAGAGTAAATACATAAAATGGTCTCTCGACTATAGCTAAATTCACAAATTGGTCATCGACTTTCAATTTCAACAAATTAAGTCCTTAACTTTGTAATTTTGACACGATTTGGTCCTCCATCTATTTGACCGTTTGTTGACCGTGATCGACAATCTCCAGAAGAACCTTCAGCTCTCGTCGGAGCACGTGGAGACCTCCAGGATGACGTTGCACTGGTTCAGAAACACGTCGTCTTCTTCGCTCTGGTACGAACTCAACTACATTGAGGATGAAGAAAGACTACCGGATATGGTAGATTGCTTTCGACAGTGGATTCAAATGTAACAGTGCGGTCTGAAAATGCAACCAGAAGCTTAAAAAACAGACGATGGACCATGAAATTACATATATATCCTCAAAAATCACAGTCAACAAACGGTCAAATAGACAGAGGACCAAATTGTGTTAAAATTACAAAGTTAAGGACTTAATTGGTTGAAATTGAAAATTGATGACCAATTTGTGAATTTAGCTATAGTTGAGGACCATTTTGGGTATTTACTCTATAATATATATTCATAACTACTTTTTCAATCTACTAAAGCATAAAGAGTCGAACCCATGACCTCCCATTTGGGAGAGCCACTTCGTGCTACTAGATCGATACGTGAACATTAGTAATGACCTACAAAATCTGAAATTGACGAGAAAAAGAGAATGCTTGGAATGATTGTTGTAGCTTTCATTTCATTGCATCTATTCATAGATTCCAATACGCTGTCAAAATATGATAACTGGCAGCAACAAAGATTGAATGAATATAAAGAAACAAGCAAATATGCCGAGTTATAAAGCCAACACACACACACACCTATCTAATCAAATCTCACCAGCGCCAATCATAAACTCGTTGTGCCTCCTTGTACGTTCTTCAACCAAACTCCGGGCTTGGATGGCTTCAAAAAGGCTTATGTAGTGTTGGCTTGAGATGAATGGTAACACCTGCGTAACCACCATCACTCTATATCTATATTATATCTATCTATAGACTAGACATCTATATGCAAGCGCCGCATTTCAGATAGGAAGGTTGGACTTGAGGCCAAAGTCTGCCGTGCAAGAGCCTTTATGTCCTCGCGAGTGCAGTCACGTGAGATACGATATAGCTCCCAAAGGGCTCCCCCGCTAATCATGTCTTTTGCGTTTACTTCTGGGGAAATGGAAAGACCGCGGATTAAAATCAGGGAAAACATACAAATTTCTGCAAAGGAATGGTCTGATATGTTTGGGATATATTTCAGTGTTCCCAATTTTATGAAGCCCTTACCATGTTGTGCGAGGTGGCAAAGTGCAAGCTCCACATGTCGCCTAATAAGTGAGGCTTCGTTGTTGGCATTTTGTACGATCCATGGTAGTGCTCCATCTTCTATTAGAAGGGATCGTCCAAGTTTTATGCCTACCAGGGCATTTGCACAGTCAGCATTAAGAAATTACACTGCTTAATATCCATCTTAGCAGTTTTTATGCTGTATCTGAAGAAAAATGACCAGAGAATATTCACAGGCTCTCAATTCAGAAATTGACGCCTTTTACTCACCTTGGGCAGAAGCTCTGGACTCACACTTGGCGAAATTGGCAATTCCACGTGCGACTTGAGAAAGAACATCTGGATGTCTACACCTCACCATTCCTAACAAAGCCCTGATACCACCTTCAGACCTTAGCCTTGTCTGCAGTTTATCTGAGGAGCCAATAGATACAAGGATTACGGCTTACATTAAAAGGGATTTAAGAACAAGAACTGCAGATAACAAAAGAACTTTTAAGATTGGACAGATATTCATCAATAGACCTGGCTTTACAGTGTTCCGAACAAATTAACTACAACGGCAGGGAGCAGCAAAGAGGCCTCAGCTTAGCATCATTGGCAATTATATTTACATGGGGTCAAGAGGCATATCATTCAAATGAACCAGTGGAATACGAATGGAAAACCATCTGATTTGATGTCATTATATCCAACTCAAAGCGAAGGTAAATACCCCATTTTATATTCACCTAAAAACTATTTCCCACAATTTTCTTGAATACTGTGTATAAATGTTGATCATTTTACATCCTCCCTATGCTCATGCTTCTAGATTAATTAATCACACAACATTGATAGACACTAACCAACACCATTTAGAGAAAATGATGAAGACAACACTGAAAAAGCAAATTAGAATACCATTGCCACATAGATTTGCAATTGCTCCAGCAACCATACGAAGAGTCTGAGGATCCTCAGCTTCAGCTGCTGTCATTGCCAATAGACTAATACCACTATGAGCCATAATAAGCTCCTGGTTTGATTCTGCACATAAGAGA